CCAAGTGGAGCGATTCGTTGATTCACTCAAGCGTGGCCTCAAGAAGCTAGCCAAGGGGGAAGGATCACCCACACTGGAGCACCTGCAGACATTCCTTTCGGTGTATCGTTCAATTTCAAACCGAAACACACCGCAGTCGACGTCTCCAGCAGAAGCATTCCTCGGAAGACCAGTGCGCACCACTTTGGACCTACTGAAGAAACCTGTTCCTGTAACTGAAGCTGTCAAGAACCACAAACAAAACGAACAGTTCAATTGGCGGCATGGAGCAGTGGAGTTTGAAGAAGATGACCTGGTCTACGTTGAACAGCATCGCAGAAACGCCAAGTCCTGGTCGAGTCATCGAACGGAAAGGTTCCGTCAACTGCACTGGACATGAACGGGAGACCGAAGCTGGTGAGGTCGCATGTAAACCAAATGCGCCCTCGTCACACTTCTAATGATCCAGAACAAGCGACGCAGTAAGTACCATGGGAAATCCTGCTTGATGAAATTCAAGATGAAGCTGTACCGTTGGATCGAGAAGTGCCATTCAATCACGATGTCCCTATTCCTGTTGGTTCCGTATCACTCGAAGCTGATGGTCAAGTGGCAAGTACGTCTGGCGAAAATCCTTTTTCGATAATCGATCATGAACCTGCTGCTCAAGATGGAGAACTTCAGTCCGCACAAAAGCCCGTGTCATCTGAAGCAGTTGGAGACTTTATTCGACGTTCTGTACGAGAATCAAGAATTCCAAGATGGCTCTCTTCCTATGACATTTTCTAAAAGGGGGAGATGTAGTAGGCCTAGATGTAGTAGGCCTTGCCTGATTGTCATAAGTTAGAGATTGATTCTTTATCCGACCACCAACCAAGATAGACGTAATAAATAGTAGTTCTTAACAACAGAAGAGAGATGGAGAACTTTTGGCAACCGGCAAGATGATTGGCAGCTTGTACGAAAGAGTGCTGACGTTGGAAAAAGCTTGTGCCAATGTCTGTGATGCGGAACCAAGTAAGTTGTGGCATAGGAGGTTGGGGCATATTAACCTGCACGGGATGGACGTTATGATCCGTGAAGGAATGCTGGACGGAATCAAGAAATCGACTCCAGTCGGTTTTTGTGAAGTTTTTGTTCAAGGAAAGCAGTGCCGTGAGCCCTTCAACGGAACGCGTTGTCGTGCTAGTCGGCCCTTGGAACGTATCCATTCCGATGTCTGCGGCCCGATCGACCCTCTGGCCTGGGATGGTTTCAGGTACATCGTTTCGTTCATCGACGACTACAGCCACTTTGCAATGATCTACCTGTTGAAGAAGAAATCTGGCGTGTTCGAGGTGTTCCGTGAGTATGAAGCCACAGTGACGGCAGCATTCGGGATGTCGATTACGAAGATGACCGTTGACCAAGGAAAAGAATACTGCTCTAACGCCCAGAAGCCCAGAAGTTCTACAAGCATAAAGGCATCCAGCTGGAAGTAACCGTTGCTTACACGCCGCAGCAGAACGGAGTCGCTGAGAGATTCAACAGGACTTTGGAGGAGAAGATTCGTGCTGTGAAAAATCTTTGATCCGAGGCAGCGTTGGCGTGCGTGTACCTGTTAAACCGAAGCCCCACAGTCACCCTGCCTGCTGAAATTTCACCTGCTGAAAGATGGTATGGTTCGAAGCCTAATCTGGACAAGCTGCGTGTGTTCGGCTGCAGATGCTTTGCGTGGGTCCCAAGTCAGCAGCGGAAGAAGTTGGATCCAAAGAGCCGTGAGATGATTATGATCGGTTACGCACCGAATGGCTATCGGCTGTGGGACATGCAAGCGCGCGAAGTGAAAACTGCTGGGGACGTGAAATTTGATGAAGGTTCGTTCCCGTATGCCCAGCTGAAGCCAAGTCAAGATGTCCCGTTGGTCCGTTCGAGCAAGAGGGGGAAACTACAGAAAATGAAGCTGTTCCTGACATTCCTGATGACGAAGCTAGAAGTTCCGGTAGCAAGGAGACAGCTGGCTGCTCGACCGAAAACGAGGACCACTTTGAAGATTCTTGCGCTCCCTTCGCAAATAGAAAGACACGAAATCCATGATGAGTCGGTGTCGAGGTGTAGCGAACGGAAGCGCAGGCTTCCTGGTAAGTTGTTCGATTTTTTTGAAAATTATAGAGCAACTTCTGGCGATTTGATTTCCTCAGATGTTCCCATGAGCTACAACGACATCATGTGACCTGACGATCAACGTAAATGGCTGGGTGCAATCCAGGATGAGCTTCAATCGATGGCAGCAAACAATATGTGGCGCTTCGTGAAGTGCCAGGATAACGTGAAACCCCTTAAGGCCAACTGGGTGTTCCGGATTAAGAATGATGCTGATGGAAATGCAGTACGATACAAGGCGCGACTGGTGGCTAAAGGGTTTCTTCAAAAAGCTGGCCTGGACTACGAGGAAACATTTGCTGCAGTGGCGAAGCTTGCTACAATATGAACGATGTTTGCAGCAGGTGTCAACCATGGCTTCTTGTTCCACAATATGGACGTGAAGACAGCGTTCTTGTACGGCGAACTGAAACAGGACATCTATATGGAGGTCCCAGATGGCGTTGAGGCACCACCAAACACCGTATGCAGGCTGCTGAAGAATCCGAGATGCTGGAACGAGAAACTCAATCAAAAGTTGCTAAATTTGGATTTCGAACGTTCCCGACATGATTATTGTCTGTATACGCGAATACAGGACGGGGACGAGATATATTTAGTCCTGTACGTGGATGACCTGCTCATATGCGGACGGAATCTGAAGAGCATTATGAAGCTGAAGAAGCAATTGACGGCAACATTTGCAATGACTGACTGTGGAGCAGTTGCGCACTTCCTTGGTATACGTGTGGACTACGATGTTGAACAAGGACGCATGCGACTATCGCAAGCTGCAAATGTTGACAAGCTCTTGGTAAGATTCGAGATGGCGGATTGCAATCCAGTGAAGTGTCCAATGAAAAAAGGAACCCAGTTGACGAGAAAAGGAGATCTAACAAGCCAGCCCTACAGGGAACTTCTCGGATCGTTAATGTACTTGATGCTGTGTACTAGACCGGATAACTGCTATCCAGTAGGGTTCCTAGGACGATTCCAGCAGAAGCCAACAGCACCACATTGGGAGAGTTTGAAACGTGTGGTTCGGTACATCAAGGGGACAAAAACCAAATGCTTGGAGTATCGCCGAATCGAATCTGTAAAACCGTTGGTGGGCTACGTAGATGCGGATTGGGCTTCTGACACCGAGGACCGTAAGTTGGTAAGTGGCTTTGCATTCTTCGTCTTCGGCAACTTGATCAGTTGGTCAAGCAAGAAGCAAAACACGGTTGCATCATCGTCAAGCGAAGCTGAATACATCGCCCTGAGCTCGGCGGTATCGGAAGCAGTTTGGCTGTCTGGTATCCTAGAAGACTTGAAGCTGAAGACTCGTGAACCGGTCACAATCTATGAGGACAACCAAGGCTGCATAGGGATGGCCAAAAACTGTGAATCCAAACGGTCGAAGCATATTGATGTGAAGCAACACTTTAGCCGGGAGCACATCTCAAACGGAAGCGTGAAGGACGGACGATCAACTGGCGGACCTCTTCACCAAACCGATGGAAGTCGGTCGTCTAGACAAACTTGGAAAACGTCTCGGAATAGCGGATTGAGAGGGGGTGTTATTTGTTTATTTGTTTATTTGTTCTTCGTCTTCGACAGTGTCGTACAGACTAGTTTAACTTATGCTATGTTTTTAATCCTATTTTTAAAACAATTTTTGGACACATTAAAATCAAACAAATCACTAACATTGTTGAAAGCTCTGAGGCAAGAACTGAGCGGGTTGTTATGACCATAACATGTTCTATGTGCGGGAACTGCGATAAGTGCTGAGTACCGCAGCTGACGCTGTGGAACGTTCAGTGATACTTGCAGGAGAAGATCCGAACAGTCGACGTTATTCTGGACGATATCGAATATAACCAGCCGCTGCAATTTCAGCCGTCTTGCCGATAGCAGTTCCAGTTATCGAAGTAGTAATCGGCTATTCTGGTTGCTCAGACCACCCTGCCTTGCAACGTGTTTTCCCTAGCAACGAATTTGTTTGAGGACTAATTTTTCATTATTCCTAAAGTGTAAACCGTACGAACAGGACGTGTTTCAATAAAGCTCTAATTTAGTTTAGCACAAGTAGTTCTCCCGTTTTTCTTTCGAGTCCCGTTCCAGTAACCGAATCCCAATAGATTGGAACAACTTTTGACAGACGTCCATACTTTTACCATAGAGGTAACTCTAAGACCAGAAGGTCCCGAAGAAACGAGCTCAACTTTTTGGTTCAGCTCTGGTACTATCTTCGGTCCCAAGCTAATCGATTCACCCCTCGAAACATAGGAAAAACCAATAACCCCTCATTTTATCTGTCAAACTTTCATAGCGAATCAAAACAAACATTGCGTAGTACTAGAATTTCGACTAGAATAGGGTACGTTAATCGTTTGCTTGGGACCAATATACTAGTCAAGTAGTGAGCCAATTTAAAATCGTAAGCACAATCTCCCAAACAAACTATACCAAATGATAGATATATCCTTCCTATGCCTGTTTGTGTTGTTAGTTTTTTTGATTGAGCTTTAATTCACAAGAAATCGGTCAATAAAGTGTTTATTTACAAAAGCAATTATGCCCTAATCTCGAAGTTCTCCGGATTTTTTCCACCAATCCGAGAATGCGATTTGAAATAATGGATTTTTCGAATTATTCGAAAACAAATCGGACACCATGAGAAGAATGTGAAACGTCATTTTGACATCCAACAATATCAATATCAAATATAAGGGCCGTTCATAAATAATGAGAGAGACAATTTGAAATGAACCGGGGTTAATTACATATGTCGTTCACACAGTAACTGAAACAAAAACACGAAAGCTGACCGGTTGGTAATAGCCCCGTGGAGCTAATCGAGGCCCCGTTATCATGTCAATCGCCATTAATGTTTTCCCGAAATCACATTTCAGGAGCCATCTTCCACGGGGACAACTACGAAGCGGAAATCGCCTTCCGATATGCCATCGAGCGGGTCAACATGCACGAGAAACACTTCGAGCTGACCCCTTTGATCCGGTACGTGTCTCCCGAGGATAGCTACAAGACGGAGCGGAAAGTTTGCGAGCTGGCCTCCGAGGGCGTAACGGCCATCTTCGGTCCTAGCTCGATGATGACCTCCGGTATCGTGAGCTCAATCTGCAAGACTATCGAAATTCCGCACATCATAACCCACTGGGATCCGGAACCGTTCGGTGGCTGGGATCCGGAACTGCAAGCGATGACCATCAACCTCTATCCGGATGCGGACGTCCTGTCGAGGGCCTTGCGCGATCTGATCGTAGACTACAGTTGGAAAAGCTTCACGATCATCTACGACAGTGACGAAGGTCTGATGCGTTTGAAAGACATCCTGCAGATCCATGGACCGGGCAATAGTCCGATTACGGTGCGGCAGATCGACGATGACCCGGACTACAGGCCGCTGTTGAAGGATATCCAGTCGTCTGGTGAGAGTCACATCATTCTGGAGGTACATCCGGACAAGATCCTGGAGATTCTTCGCCAAGCAAAGGAGGTCAAGATGTTGGAGGAGTACCAGAGCTATATTATCACTTCGCTGGATGCTCACACGTTGGATTTCGAAGAATTGAAGTACTCCCGATCGAACATAACCACACTGCGGCTGATGGATACGAAGAGCTTCGACATCAAGAATGCGGTCCACGATTGGGAACAGGGTGAGGCCAGGATGAAAAAAGTTTTCCGAGTTTCACCAGAACATGTTCAGACGGAATCAGCATTGTACAACGACGCCGTGAAGATCTACGCAACGGCTATCAGGGAACTGGACGCTACGGATGAGATCACCCCGTCCAGGTTGTCTTGCGGCAGCAAGAACCTCCGACAGTGGCCGTTTGGATTACGGATCGTAAACTATATGAAAGTTGTAGGTATCCAACCAATCGCATCGGAGACTTTGAAGATAACTTTGCCTTTTCCTGGTAGAAAACTGAACACGGAATAACAGGACCAATCATTTTCGACGACAACGGTCGGCGAACGCACTTCCATTTGGACATTATCGAACTGAATCAGCAGGAGGTATTCAAGAAGATAGCCATTTGGGACCCGACAAATGGAATCAACTACACCCGTAGTCAGGAAGACGTCCATTTGCAGATCGTTGAATCGCTGCAAAACAAAACCTTCATCGTCGCTTCCCGTATTGGTGCTCCGTTCCTGGTGTGGAAGTTCGTAGATTTTCTAACAGATTTACCCGCGATCATCCTATTATGCTTTATATTTTCGCAGGGAGAAGAAGGAAGGTGAATACTTGGAGGGCAACAATCGCTTCGAAGGCTTCTCGTTGGAGCTGATCGATGGCATTTCCAAGATCTTGGGTTTCCAATACCGCATGGAGCTTGTCCCGGACGGCAAGTATGGATCATACAACAAGCAAACGAAAAAGTGGGACGGCCTGGTGAAGTATCTGTTGGATCGGGTAAATTTTCCATCCTTTTTATATGACCATTCTCAACCGCTAAACAAATGAACTTTTTCAGAAAGCTGACCTGGCCGTATGTGACCTGACCATCACTTACGAGCGTCGAACGGCTGTGGACTTCACGATGCCTTTCATGACCCTCGGTGTCAGCATCCTGTACGCCAAACCCGTGCCACAACCCAAGGACCTATTCTCTTTCCTCTCGCCGCTCTCGCTGGACGTGTGGATCTACATGGCCACTGCCTACCTTGGTGTCTCCGTCCTGCTGTTCGTCCTTTCCCGCATGGCTCCAGCTGACTGGGAAAACCCCCACCCCTGCAAGCAGGAAGAAGTCGAAGAAGTGGAAAACATCTGGAACATGCTGAACGCTCTCTGGCTCACGATGGGCTCCATCATGGGTCAAGGTTGCGACATCTTGCCGAAAGCCGTCTCCACTCGCGTCGTTGCCGGAATGTGGTGGTTCTTTGCACTGATCATGCTTTCTTCCTACACGGCCAATCTGGCGGCGTTCTTGACGATGGAGCGTATGGATGCCACGATCGAGAGTGCCGAAGATTTAGCCAAGCAGAGCAAGATCAAGTATGGAGCAGTGCTCGGTGGCAGTACGCTGAGTTTCTTCCGTAGCTCGAACTTCTCGACCTACCAACGAATGTGGGCTGCAATGGAATCGACTCGACCGTCGGTGTTCACCAAGAGTAACGATGAAGGTCGGGACCGAGTGCTGAAAGGACGTGGACTGTACGCTTTCCTGATGGAGTCAACCTCGCTGGAGTACATCACCGAGCGGTACTGCGAGCTTACGCAGATCGGAGGACTACTGGATTCCAAAGGATACGGGATCGCCATGCCAGTTAGTGAGTAAGGTCCAGCAACTCCATCCGGACAACTTCCCTAACATTTCCAAACCATTCGCAGACTCACCTTACCGAACTGCCATCTCGGGAGCGGTGCTCAAAATGCAGGAGGAAGGTAAACTCCATCAGCTGAAGACAAGATGGTGGAAAGAGATGCACGGTGGAGGTCGGTGCGATGAACAAGCCACTACAGCTGCGGGAGACAGCGCTGCCGAATTGGGTATAGACAACGTCGGTGGTGTCTTCGTGGTATTGGCCTTCGGGTGTTTCTGTGCGTTCATCCTGGGCATATTGGAGTTTATGTGGAACGTTCGGAAGGTTGCGGTCGAAGAGAAGGTGAGCTAAATGATGTACGTAGAATACAAGATCAACGCTAAAAAAAAAACTATCATCCGTAGGTAACTCCGTGGGAAGCACTGCAGGCGGAACTGAAGTTTGCCCTTAATCTATCGATAACGACCAAACCGGTTCACAACACTCTGAGTGAGTCGTCCTCGGCTAAGAGTTCGATGCGTTCCAAGTCCGAGTCCAGGCATGGTTCGGAATCGGTCAGGCGGATGCACAACATCAAAACCGGAACCAGTTTGATTAATTTAGACAAGATTGGGTTTGTTTTCGGTAATAAATGAATGCGTTAAATTGATTAAGAAATGAAGAATAGCATTCAGTTCGAAAAGAACGCTATGGAATGAAGCTTGCAGCGATCATATCAAGTTGTTTTGCACCGACATTAGAACATTGATGCACTTTTAAGTACGTTGAAGATAGTTAGAATCAATAAACACAGTATAGAAGCATATTTAGATATTTAAGAATGTTTTCGGGATTCGATATGTATCATTTCCTGGCTAAATAGTAACAAAGTAAATAAAACTGTTTTCGTGCAAGCTTGCCACAATGGAGCTGTCAATCTTGGTTTACCAAGCATGCAAACCAGTATGGGGGTTCAAAATCTTTAATCCAATTTATATTCTAAAATAAGGCTTAAATTTCGATTGCAGGGAAGTTATGGGATTCAAAATCTTTAAATTCCATTATCTCTGTATATAAGGCCTAGATCACAACCTGGATTTCGAAACATTTGACTGCGTTTATCTACGTAAATAATGTCTAAATAGTGATTTACCTACTACCTCTTTTCCAAATCTTTAAACCCGTTTATCTCCGGAAATATGGCCTTAATTAACCGGGATTGCCTAAATCGTGATTTAGGTTTTCATTTATCTCCGTAAAAAACCCATATTAATCCACCGGGCAGGTGCCTAGAACCTTTGTTGTCTCGGTTTTGATATTATCTAGTTAAATATTATTTTTGTTACTGTTCGTCTCACAGGACAATCTCGTTTTTGATTTTATAATTGAAAAAACCTACAAGGGACAGCCCTATGGGGTTGTACGCAACGGTGACGTAGGACTACGTGGTCTTATATAATAAATCTTATTTGTTAACTGCAGCAGGAGCTTGTGTTTTGTGTAGCAAAACTCTCTATTTATACTTTTTAGTAGATATGGCCCACAGCGACTCACAAAGAGCTACTGATTCCGATCAATAGCGGTGCGGCTTCTTCCTCCTTCTGTGGATGCTCGTGGGATGCAGCTTGCTGCTTGCTGCTTGCAGGCAGCCTTTCGTTGTGTACTGGAGAACACCACCACTCACCACGCGGTGATTGAATAAACACCGTTTGGTGAGACCGGATAGAATTCAATGTGTTAGGGAAATCGCTTTTCGCAGGTAATCGGTGATAAATTTTTTTTTATTATCATAGCCACAACATGCAATTTTTAATAGTGACATTTTGGAAAATTATAGGGTCTTTAATATTTCTGATCCATAAAATTATTGGTGATAAAATTATTGAAATTTGTCCAGGGGCAGCTAAGTTGTTAACGTTCAAAATTTTTCATAATTTTGTTACAGGTTCATTTTCGGTTTTCAAAAAGTGTACCCCCATATAGAAATCACAGACGTAGTCCTACGTTAACAAAATTAGTCCATACACACTTAGATTTTTTTGCCGAGATGGCCAGCACCGAGCAGCTCGGTGTTTTGTTTTGCTGGATCTTAGTTAAAAACTTACCGAGATCCGCAAGTTTTTCACCTGAGATTCAGCAAATTAAAATGCCGAGTTGCTCGGTGGTGCCCGTCTCGGCAAACAAATCTTAGTGTGTAGATTTTGTTTTTATTTGTCTCGGTTCCAGTTGCTTTCGGGGTTCCTGGGCACTTTCCTGGGTTAAAAGTTGTTTATAATTCCTGCTCAACTTTAACTGAAATGGTTATGGAACTTTACATGAACGTTTGTGCGATAAATTTGTAACCTTATGTATTATTGTTTTTTTGGAAAGTGAACCTTACAAATAATGGGTTTGTTAAAAACCATTACCATTCCAGTAAGTCGTAAGATACTTCGTTTGTGGTAATACCAACCGGTGGAAACTAACGATTTTAAATTCGCTCACTACTTAAATGGTCTTAGCTTGGTCCCAAGCTAAGAGAAAGAGGAGACAATACGGGGCGAAAACGAACCACTTTTCTGTCAAACGCGAACCAGCTCGTGATTGGCCGATTTGAAGTGCGTAAGATAGAGTAAGAAGCCAATTGTCTCCTCTTCCTATTAGGTCTCAACTTACCTTACCTTACCAATCAGGCTAAGGCATTGTTGTCCTCTGCTGTCCGAAGAAGTCGTCTCCACTCTACTCGATCCATGGGCTCACTTCGCCAGCCTCGTAGTCTGCGAAGGATCCGCAGGTCGCCTTCTACTTGGTCGATCCACCTTGCCCGCTGCGCGCCTTTTCTTCTTGTTCCTGTTGGGCCGCTTTCTAGAACCATTTTCACTAGGTCGTCGTGCGGCATTCTTACGACGTGCCCAGCCCACCGTAGTCGCTCAGTTTTTGCAATGGATGGTTCTCCCAGCAGCTGATGCAATTTGTGGTTCATTCAACTCCTCCACGTTCCGTCATTCATCTGCACTCCACCGTAGATGGTACGCAACACCTTCCGGTCGAAAACACCAAGGGCGCGTTGGTCCTGCATGAGCATAGTCCAGGTCTCGTGGCCGTAGAGGACCACCGGTCTAATCAGCGTCTTGTAGACAGTCAACTTCGTGCAGCGGCGAATTTTATTCGACCGGAGCGTCCTCCGGAGTTTAAAGTAGGCACGATTCCCTGCCATAATGCGTCTTTGAATTTCTCTGCTGGTATCATTTTCGGCGGTCACCAGTGAGCCCAAATACACGAACTCATCGACCACATCAATTTCGTCACCGTCAATCTGAACTCGGGGTGGGACCTCTATTGTAACTCTAAGACCAGAAGGTCCCGAAGAAACGAGCTCAACTTTTTGGCTCAGCTCTGGTACTATCTTCGGTCCCAAGCTAATCGACACACCCCTCGAAACATAGGAAAATCCACGAACCCCTCATTTTATCTGTCAAACTTTCATATCGAATCAAAACAAACATTGCGTAGTACTAGAATTTCGACTAGAATGGGGTACGTTAATCGTTTGCTTGGGACCAATAGGCTACTAAAGTGGTGAGCCAATTTAAAATCGTTAGTTTCGTATTGATTGTTGGTTTATCTACGTAAATAATGTCTAAATAGTGATTTACCTACTACCAACAATCAATACGAAACTAACGATTTTAAATTGGCTCACTACTTGACTAGCCTATTGGTCCCAAGCAAACGATTAACGTACCCTATTCTAGTCGAAATTCTAGTACTACGCAATGTTTGTTTTGATTCGCTATGAAAGTTTGACAGATAAAATGAGGGGTTATTGGTTTTTCCTATGTTTCGAGGGGTGATTCGACAAGCTTGGGACCGAAGAGAGTACCAGAGCTGAGCCAAAAAGTTGAGCACGTTATTTCGGGACCTTCTAGTCTTAGAGTTACCTCTATGCTACTACCTCTTTTCCAAATCTTTAAACCCGTTTATCTCCGGAAATATAGCCTTAATTAACCGGGATTTGAGGGGTGTTAAGGCTAATGGATTCACCCCTCGAAACATAGGAAAAACCAATAACCCCTCATTTTATGTGTCAAACTTTCATAGCAAATCAAAACAAACATTGTGTCGTAGTAGAATTTAGACTAGAATTACCTCTATGATATTTCCAACAATCAATACGAAACTAACGATTTTAAATTGGCTCACTACTTGACTAGCCTATTAGTCCCAAGCAAACGATTAACGTATCCCATTCTAGTCGAAATTCTAGTACTACGCAATGTTTGTTTTGATGCGCTATGAAAGTTTGACAGATAAAGAGCCAGAGCTGAGCCAAAAAGTTGAGCACGTTATTTCGGGACCTTCTAGTCTTAGAGTTACCTCTACACAGCAAAAAAAGTTGTTGAATATTACATCGAAACTGCTGCAACCAGGTCAATCCATCGGTTGAGTAATATCACATTGTACGATGTACATCGATTTTGCGAACAAAATTACATCCATTGATGTAATATTGTATCTGCTTTTTGCTATTACATCATTATTTCATACATCAGCTTGAATTACGTTGATCGATATTACATTTTTTTTTTTGCTGTGTATGATATTACCATAGGTGTGATCAGAAGAGCTGGGATAGACACGAGTGGCACGATTTTCAGGAAGTCCATCCAGCTTCTTGGCTTCTCCGATGACATTGACATTATGGCACGGAACTTTGAGATGATGGCGGAAACGTACATCAAACTGAGGGCTGAAGCTAGGTGGATTGGACTTATTTATTTATTTATTTTATTTATTATTTTATTGAAGAGGTTTTAAATTTTAACAAATTCATTCGCCTCTAATGAATAGGAAATATAAAAGGTACTACCATAGAGGTAACTCTAAGACCACTGGGTCCCGAAGAAAATCATTATTATTTTTGGCTCACTCAGTACCAGAACAACGCTCCCAAGCAGTCCCAAGCTATTTCACTCACCCCTGCATGTTCTGCATGAATCCACACACCCCTGATGTTATCTGTCAAACTTTCATAGCGAATCAAAACAAACATAGTGTAGTAATAGAATTTCAACTAGAATAGGGTACGTTTATCGTTTGCTTGGGACCAATAGGCTACTAAAGTGGTGAGCCAATTTAAAATCGTTAGTTTCGTATTGATTGTTGGTACTACGTTCAGTTCGAGGTCGAATATTATAAATCACAAAGTGGTTATATTTTATCAACTAGTTGACTTTCTCTCAGGAATAACAACAATTTTTCTTCAGCGTTGGGATCATTGCCTAGGATTTCTCGTATGGATCCAGGTAAGTCGACGGTTTTCCGACAGTTTTCGTAGACTGGGCAGAAAACGAGCAGATGTTCCACAGTTAGGCGACACTGACATACTTCGCATTGGGAGGGGGGGGGGGGTTGCGGGCAATGACATTTATATAAGGTCTGGGCCAACAGGCAGCTTGCTGGTGTTAGAAGCAAAAATGTTGTAAACATTGCTGAACATCTGCGAACAGATAGATATACGTCACTGCCAACATACTGAGAACAGATAGATATACGTCACTGCCAACAGCTGTTTCGTGTAAAAAGATAAACATTGCAATATAATACGAACACCACTAACCATTTGCACATTTCACTAACACCAATAAGCCCTTTGGCCCAGACCTTATATAAACGTCATTGGGTTGCGGGTACTTCCTATGTAATGAGTGTGCGTGAGTTTGGTATGTCCGACTCTCAATCGGGGTAAGATCCTTTGATCTTTCCGCTTTTCCCTGTCGTTCCATTTCTCTATGTTTCCTTTCACTTTTCTCAAAAATAGTTCGGTTTCGTTTGACCACGTAATGTTCCAGGCATATTTTATAGATGACACTATGTGTTTTCGAATATCGCCGCCGGGAACTTTAGTCCTTTGTCGCTGACTGGTTCTACCGTAAGCTGCAAGTCTATCGGCTT